GGGGGTGTCCCTGTACGGCGGGGAAAGCCGAGTAGGCCCCGTGGCTCCGGCGCAGGGGTTGGAAGTGAAGTGTGCGTGTCGTACAGTTATGTTTAAATTACCTTTGTTCAGCTTTTACACCCGGGGTGTGTTGGCCAGGTGCCTGGGAGTAACATCCCGGTAACCAGGAGCGCCAGGGCTCTCCTGGCACTGGGCGGTTGGGGTCAGTTTTGTGGGGTGCAGGATGGCGCAGATGTAGCTGCTGACCGTGTGTGGCGGTTCACACCCGTACTAGCACTGTTTTATCTGAGGCTCGTTGGTGATTGGCGAAGATGTTGCAGCCTGAAGTGGCTCTAGCTATCTCCCCCGTGGCTGTTTGGTAAGGATCCTGAGGAAGAGAGTCTTGTTTTGTGCCTATTCACTGACAGATGTGTCTTGCTTTCTGAATTCCCATAATACAAAAAGTGACACTTTCCCCGTTTCCTGGAGATGGGGAGAAAGTGTGTTTCCCTTTTAGTCTGAGAACTGAAACACTTTAAGAAAGGGTGGCATGCTCCGTAGCTAATGTGTTGTGCAGCACACAAAATCCAGGTGTTTCTGGAGCTGATGCCAAGTACAGTGTGCGTCTTTTCAGTCTGTTTTAATTAGGCTTGCACTGCTATCACAGAAGCAATTACTTTGTGGGTTTTTTTCCCCCTGGCAGTTAAAGTTTATTTTTCCCAGAATCACATATATGATGTACACAAGGTCAGAGACTTCCTTGCTTTTTTTGTCTTGCCAGGCTATAGCCTGTTGCTGAGTGACAGGACATAGTTTCCTATAAAACTCTTGGTTGATGGGATAATGACATTTTTAATGTGGTAGTGTGTGGGAGAGTACAGCCCTGTCATGCATTGAACATCTGAAAGAAAGTTACCAGTTGTCTGAAGTATTGAAGAAGCAAGAAACACCTCTCCCGTTGAAACATGTTCAGATCATCTGTTGTCTGAATAATATTGCTGAAATGCACAACAGCAAAAAATACCATGACTTGTAGGGGAGAGGGATGTTTCTCTTGAAGCTTTGTGACTGATATCTCTGCTTTCTTTCTTAAGGATATGTGAAAATCAGGCAAAACTCTGAACTAAAGGTGCTTCCTGTACAGAGCAACAAGTAAAAGTCTACTGAGAAGTCATATGATTGACATGCAGATACCATCTTTTGTACATTCGTTGTAGGAGTGGTCAAACCTTGCCACATGAGCTGCATGCGGTTTGTTAGCACTTCCAGTGTCCCTTGTCAACCATGTGGATTTTCTTTGGACTGCATAGATTTTTTAGTGTGGCTTCTTAGAACTTGGAAGAAAGTGTTCTAGTCAGCAAAATATGCCTGTGGATTCCAGGGAGCGGTTGTGGAAACTTACATGAAGGAGCACGGATCAGCAGCTGAGCAGGAAGTAGACTCGCACAAGGTTTTGATCCTTGGGACAGCTAAGTCAGCCGTCACTCGTAGGTTCCATCAGCTCTCCATGTTCCTGCTGTGTTAAATGTTTCACTAAGTTTTGCTTAAATAAAGATGAAGGTAGTAAACACCTTAGCTTAAGCAGGCCAGAAGTGCAGGCTTAGTGAGAGGGAGTGGAAGAAATCAGGTGTGTATCGAGGCTAAAGAGTATGGGCTCTGGGAAAGTATGACTCTTGGTTGTATTAAGGCTTTGGTACCCAGCAAGTAGGCTTAACCAGTATGACTTTTCCTGATTTAGAATGTGATTGGGGTTTGTTTTTTCCTTAATGTAGCTACTCTTGAAAACAAGGAAGTTTGGAGGTGTTAGATATGACAACAAACAAACCACTGTTTGGGTTGCTTCCCTGGTAACTTGCACAAGACCCTGTACTGTAGTGTGGAGGGGAAGGAAGCAGTGTGCCACCAAATTTAAATCTTTCAGTCTTGCGCTTGTTTGCAGTTCATTCTGTTTTTCATTCTGAAGTTAATCTGTCTGAACTGTTACATCTTGTGCTTGCTCGGGCATGCCTGTCTTTAGTTTTCTTGTTAGAAGGGCTGCAGAAGTCACAGCATTGACAGCTCTTCTCTTGAGCTGAAGTTAAAACTTCCTTGTGATAGGCATACAGTCTCCATTTGAAAACTTCAAGTTCTCATAAAGCAGCAACTGGAGTGTGTGTCAGACAGTGTAGTGGCTGTTTACTTAATTTGATTGCTCTGGATGTTTAACTAGGAGCTCTGAATTGCTCTCTGCAGAGATGCCGATCTCTTGCCATTGACTAGGCAGGGGACATGGCCCCTTGACTCTGGCACTCCTGACCTGTGCTAATAGCAGATGTCAGTGGGGTGAATGTGCCCCCTCTATCATCTAATGAGACACCTCTTCTTCAGTTGACGGAAGATGTTCTGTTTCACCACCCTGTGTATAATGCATGTTGCTGAACTCTTTCCAGGGCACGTGAAATGGCTGCAGATGACAAACGGTCTCCGACACTGGACTCTACCAGTGATCTACCTCATTCTCCTAGTAGTCCTTCTCATCTCACTCACTTCAAACCCCTGACTCCTGACCAGGATGAGCCTCCTTTTAAATCAGCCTACAGCTCTTTTGTAAATCTCTTCCGTTTTAGCAAAGGTAAGTGCTTGGGGGAATGTGTGCGTCTCTTTCATTGATGCCCTCTGCTGCCACATGAACTTGTAAAAAGCCCTCTGAATATGACTGTAATGTCTGATGGCTGGCCAAATGGATGGTGAATCAGTTATTTTGTGAGGGTTGTTGCATCTTGGTTTTGGGTGATATAGCAGAGCTTTGCTGTTGGAGAAGATAGCCATCATCCTGCAGCTAGAAATCTGTGGCTGTCCTTGAAGGTCAGAGCCAGTTAGCAGATGGTGTTGTAAGACTTCTTAGCTGGGCATCTGGATTTCCTTTGACTGTATGAAGTTTTTGTGGCTAAAAGCAGGAGGAACCTTCTGCCAGACTATATGAGCAAAATGGGTGCCTGCACTTCAAGTGCATGTTCGTACTCCAGACTTTCTCCACTCCCCACCTTCCTGTGCGTCTAGTACATTCAGGGTGACAGCTGAGCTGCAATAAAGCAGTGTATTTATAGGAAGTCCACCCTTAAGTTGCATGGCTTTGGTGTTCCCCATCAAGAGGTGTGAAATTTTGTGGAAGTTGTGTGTATCCAAAAGCACTATTTGTTTTTGGACTTTGTGCAACATGTGTCATGAAACACTTAAATTCTCAGTGGTCAAGCTTTGAAAGAACTATGTGAGTCTTTCTTTTTTGTTTCAAAGAAACATACTGCAAAGAGTGGTGAATGAATGCACCTTGGTTTTGTACAAAAACTGCATTTCTTAGCTGGAGATACCAAACTGGTCAGCTGCTTTTGTTTAGTCTGTTCATTATCCAGCTCTGCTAAGCATACTTCTGCAATGTTTGGGCTAGGGAAAAAGGGCCGATAGCTTTTTACGTAAGCCAACTGATCTGTTCAGACTCCTGTTATGCAGAATGAAAAATAATACTTGGTATTCATAGTAGAATATCACCTGTCTTTATTAATTTATTGAAAGTAACGTAAGATGTGGCCAATATTGGCTTTACATGTTTGTCTGACAAATGTAGCTGGAGTCAGCAAATTACTGTGTGGAAAGAATTGGAAAACAGCCTTGAAACAGCATATGAAATGGGCATGTTAGTGGAATCAGTGAGAACCTGTCTATACTTGATCCTTGGATGGAAAAGTGTGGCTTATTAAAGGCTGTGGTAACTTTAATGTGACCTCAGTACTGGCTTCTAACATGACTAAAAAACTTTTCAGGGCAGCAGCTGATAATCAAATGTAACTATTCCATGTAGCAAGAATAACTCATGTTTGCCAGTCTGGTTTTTTTAGACACTTCCCACATTCTGGGTATTTCTGAAATATCCTGGGCCTTGACAGACAATACTGGCCTGTTTCCATGTTCTGTATGGTACTTCTCAGACTAAAAATCAATGTCTCTTGTGTATAATCATGATCCAAATGACCCGTTTATGATAGATTTTTTTTCCCCTTCGTTTTGTACACACTTGTCTTTATCATGTCTGAACAGTTGGTTTCTTGTTGTTTGTCAACTCCAGATGATGGCAGGCTTTCATCCCCAGCAGAGAGGCCAGAGGCAGGACAGAGTGATCCACAAGCATTGAGTGGTGGCTGGTCCAGTCCTCAGCATCCCACCAGGGCTCAGTCTCTGAGGTCACCATCTCCTTACAAAAAACAACTGACTGGTGAGCTGCAACGAAGATCATCTGCAACCCTGGGTAATTTCAGCTCTTTGTGCTACCAGGGAATGTTTTACTAGCCAGACTGTGATGCTTCAGAGTGAGGTGGAAGAAGGTGAACAAAGGTTCATTACCTGGCTAGATTGATAGCAGAATTTGGTATCAGGGTACACTGCTTCTAGTAGTGAGGTTGCACTTTAACCTCAGTGTCATATTCCCTCTACCCTTCTTAATGTTCCAGGAGGACACTGTTGTTGGGGCTCTGCTCTTTCAGTTACAAAACACTCTGGAACAAAAGAGTCTGCCAAAACACATCTAACATCATAAATTAACTTGAACCTTGATACTGAAAATTTCTGCTTTGTCTCGAGAGACTTCAAGTTTCTTAAGAGCCACATGCAAGCAACATTATAACTTCAGAGCTCAGTCTGAATGGGGTTGATGTTTCTATCTTCAGCAGAGTTATAAATGCAGGGTTTGCTTGTAGCCGTTTTGAGAAGAACTGAGCAGGAACTTGCATCTAAACCTTTTTTATTCCTGACCTTGGAACTATTGCCAGATGCCATACTGAATCCCTTTTAGCTGGAAAGGGAAATGAGTGTGATTTCAAAGGTGTAACTCTGTAATGGCTCTATGAAGACCTGGAAGATGTACTAAGCAGATTGCAGGGGTCCCTCTTGAGATCTGCCTGGATGCTGTCAGCCGTTTGTGATAGCCTTGAGCAAACTGCTAAGCTGGGTAAAAATCCTGTGCAAGACAGTATTTCCAAGAGTATGGCACCTAGTGCAAACAATTCATATCTTTATTGTTGTTAATTTGTATGGGTGTGTGTTTTTTGGGTTTTGTGATTTTTTTTTTTTTTTTTTTTTTTTTTTTAAAGAAAACCTCCGTTTGTGTGCTTGGGTTGGGATTAAAGCACACTTAGCAAAATGTGATCATGAATCACCCTGGAAAGAACTAAAGTTAGACCAAGCAGGATTTGCTGGCTTTTTGGAGAGATTTCTGTGACACTGGGTGCCGAATGGCCTGATTCACTGTTGAGTATCTTCCCTCAAATAATCTTGGTGCTGTAACAAATGTGAACTGGGTGTAATGCAAAGGTACTGGATTGGTGAAGAGGTGTCAGGGGAGTTTTTCAGGTCATCTTGCCTGTATTTGAAGGAGGGGAAATACTTGCATCTTCCCTCTCCAAAAGTCAGGCATTGCTTTTGTTTGAAGTAAACTTCAGAAAATTGATTTTCATGCCTTCTTTTGTCTTAAAAGCTGCTGAATAATCAGGTCTATGAGGATTTCTGAACATTGGGCAGAGGAGAATTTTACTTTTGCTATGGCAGCTGATGCTGGGCTGCACAAGTAATCTTAGAAATTATTCTCATATTTAAAGAATTAAAAGTATGAAAACAAGTGATGTGATTTACATAAACACCTAGATTGGTAGGTCAGTTCACCCACTCAACTCAGTGACAGGGGGGTGTCTGGTGCAGTTGAGCGTTCCTGCAACCTTCTATCTGTGGGCCTGTAAATGTTTCTCTAGGCTTGGCCGTTAGACATTTTCCTGCCTACGCTTGCTGATGTTACACAGTACCTGAGTAAGTCCACAAAGGTCTTTCTAGCCTACTTGAGTTTAAATAACATGCCAAGCTTAAGAAACTGAAAGGAATAAATAAGTAAAAGGCTCCTAGTGCCTCTAAACAGCAGTGGAATGAAATAGCTCCTGATGATGCTGACTCCCACCCCTTACCTGTCTATTAGCTTGCACTGTCTGCACAGCAAATATTCTCATTGCTTGGGGATGTTATTGGTTGAAAACTGCAGGCATGGAACAACATGGGTTTTGTAGGAAACTGTCTGGCATCAAATATGCACGATTTCAGTTGTGTGCTTCTCTTCAGAACTGCTTACACAAAAAAGTTACAGTGGCACCTTACTGGCTTTTATGAAAATGGGAGAAGCTACTGGATGCCTGGCTCATATCAGAGATGCTTTGTGGGTTGTATGGCTCAGTAAACAGTTCTGAGACTCTGCATTGACTTCTGTGGCCTCCCTCTTGGGTCATCTGTTGCATCCTTGTGTGCTGGAGTAGAGTGCGAGGGAGCTGGCCTCACTACTACAGAGACGGCGTGCTCAGCCGGTTGTATTGACTGCATGTGTCTGTGCTGTCAGCAGAGTGCTGTCAAGGAGCTGGATTAAACCAAAGTAGTCTTGTGCTGAGAAATTGTCACAGCTTGCAAATCCAGTTTAAGGAGAACTAGAAATGCTGACCAATTGGAGAGGGAGCATTGGTAGTAAAAGCACTTCTAGCTTGTTACTCTGTCAGGCAGGATGATGCTGTTAATGCTAGACAGTTGAAGCAGACTGGTAGTAATAGGGATTGGCAAAGGAGCTTAGTAGGAGTAAGGAAAGGCCAATGATCATATGAGGTGGAAGAAGGACTGACGAAAGTGTGGTGGTTACTGGGAATCATAAAGAACATGACATTATCAGAAGATCTTTTCTATTGAAACAGGTATTGGAAAATGTAAATGCACGTTGTAGCTTAAGAAGGGTAAATAGGTTAGAAATAAGTCAAATTGGGAATCTAGAAGGGATTCCTTTGGTATATTGAGCTTTTGTTCAGTGAACATGTAGATGGGAAGGGAATGGATGGGAAAACCACAATTGCTGCATAAAATGGTAGTCCTGAAAAGATGTTCCACACTCGTGTTGGTGTTACACTGCAGGGCTGAGATGCAGCTGGCTTTTGTTTGTTAAATGCGAACTGATAGCAAGTGGAAAATTACTGTCTTGTATGAGTGTTTGGCTAGAGAAGAAGAGTAAATAGGTGAAGATATGGTGGAGTTGTGGACTGAGAAACTGTAAGGACTTTATATATCAAAACCATGAGGAAGGTGTCTTCATCTATTGCAGTTTTTTTTGTGCTGGTTGAACAATGAGAAGCAAAGGTTTGTGGAGCTGATCTGGTTGTCGTAACAGATTAAAAAACACATAAATAAAGTTTAATTTTATTTTAAAAATCTAATTTCTTGTGTGTAATCTTAATTGTAGTTGGTGGGGTCCGTGTTTGTTTGTTTTTTCCAGGGGGCTTTTTTGGTTGTGTGGGCTTGTGATGTGGGTTGGTTTGTTTTTTGTGTTTTGGTTTTGTGTTTTTAGTAGCATATACTGAGTTTGACGCTTCAGGAGCGCTAAAAAAACCTTACCACTACTTGGATGTGTATGTGTGGTCAACCTCTCTGGGGGTCAAATCAAAAGAAGTTATGAAATCTTTTTCAGAAGTGCATCTGCTGGCAGTTGGGATGATGATGTGGGCAAAGCAAGAAAAAATGCTCTTACGGTTTCTGTGTTTGTGGAAGAGAACATGAGTTTTGCAGATTTAATGGTGAAATAAGGAAAGCCAGAATGCTGAAAACATACATCTGTTAATTGTGCATGTGTTAACTGAGAAAATGGCTGTGGTATTTCTAGTAATGGGATTTGAGTCGGGAGTGAGAGTTAACCTAAGATTTGATGCATGTGAACCCCTTTTATAAGGGTGGTGTTTTAGATACAGTGTATCCTGTACTGCAGGAATGATAAGTCATGTAAGAAGTTACTCTTACGTTCTTGCTGTATGGCATGTTTTCCCCCAGAAAGGGAGAAATCATGATTGAAAAGGAAAAGAGCCAACTGAATTTTAATCTGAGAATAGGTCAGCTCCTCCAGTATAAACAGGTTAGCTGTGTGCTCCTACTGCTGATGGCATGCTTTTTCTCATGTAGATGACCTCCTTTTGGCATTGCTTTATGTAACACAGAAAAGGAAGTTTAACTAATGAGAACCAGTGTGGAGTTAGTTACCTGTGACATTTCCTCAGTGCTGTGTATGTTCATACCTTGGGAATTACTTGCCTGACAAGATTCGTGGCTTGCTAGGCTGGAGGCCTGATAGTAATTACTTGAATTGGAAGCAACATTCCTGGAAAGAAGATACTCTTGAATTCAAAAGTTACAGCAGTAAAGTCCAGGAAGTAAATGCAATATAGATCTTGTGATAGAAGTAAGGAGGAGCCAAAGGTTTCTGTGGCATTATCAATGTTTTCTTGAAATATTTAAGTCCCTTTAATCATCCTGAAATATTCAACTCGGTACTGTCCAAAAGTGTATTTGTTTGATTAAAAAAATTAAAAAAATCCTAGTGGGTAGCCACAGAACTGGGTTTAAGCACTCTAGAATCTCTTTAAAATCATCTCCTGTTGTGGATTCTTTGTTGTACATAGGTCATTAAGCAGCTATATGTGGGCTGACTTAACTAAAAATATCTACTAAGAGCCTGAAGAGGAGGCATAGAATCCCACAGTTTTAATCACATTACTCTTAGGGCTTTGCTCTCCTGCAGACAGAGAATAGCCTAGCTGTTACTGCACAGCAACAGTTAAAATGCTTCTGGCAGCGCTGTCAGCATTTCTGCTGACATCAGTGACATCTGAAGCAGTCAACAGAAAGCAGCCATGTCTGTTCTTCCTGTACTAGGGGGAATCAAAATAAAATGCTAGTCAGATGGAGAGCAGCAAAACTGGTAAGAAACTTTAAACTATTCAGGAAAGTTCTTGGTGTAGGAAAGTGACTCCAAAATGTTTAAATGTTCGGGTAAATACAGCATTGTGTTTGTAGATTCTTCTGGAGAGAAGGATCTTGTTTTTGTAACTCGTACAGCAGTGCTGCAGAGTAATCTAGCATTTTATATGAAATAAATTAACTGTGTTACCAGTTTAATCAGGAGTTTCTGCTATAGTTAATCAAGAATGGCTACAGATTCTCAACATTTTTTTTTTCCTAGAAAATAACAAAAGAACCTCAAAAATGTGAACTTCGGTATACATTTTATTCTGAGTTACTATTTTTAATAGAAACTGAGCAATTGAGTCCTGAGATTTGCTGTAGTCATTTATAAGTAAATTCAGGTTAAGGCATTGACTTATACCAGTCCTAGAATAAATGTGAGTATTGCCATTATCTTGTGTTAATATCCAGAAGGCATTCTAAAATGGGATTTCCGTGCTGTCTAAAGGACTCTTACAAGGTTCATTTACTAGGTTGAAAATCACTTCTTTAAAAGATGTTTTCATTTTCAGAGAACTTAAGTCAGTTCTTGTAAACACAGACGGTGGTTATTTAGAGTGTCAGTCAGAGCAAGCTATCTGGCATCAGAAGCTCCTTTTGTGGGAGAAGAGTGCAAGAGCAAGAAGTGATACACCTTGTATCATTGTAAAGTGCATACATATGTGAACATTTCTCCCTCTAATGGCATTTTGTGATGTGAATGTTGATGTAATGTGGAAGAAATGAATACTATTCTCCCTTCCCTTGCAGACAATCGAAGGAAAGTAGAACCACCTCTTGGAGGTCATGATTCAGTTAAGAAGCCTCAGCACTGTTTTAAAGCGCCTCAAAGAAATCATGGAGGGGAAGAGCCAGGTACTGATTCTGAGGGATTTGTAGGCTAAACTGTCTAGAAACTGAACTCTGTTGGGCTTCTCTGAGCTTCATTTTTACATAAATCACAGGGACTTTTTCAGATGTTTGAAGGGTGAGTGAATAAACTCATTGTGTGAGTGCAGGGAAAACAATTTTAAGTTGTGGTTGACTTTTGACATGTCAAACATCTGTCATATTATGGGAGTGAAACATTGCAGTTGCTCAGCTTCTTGAACTTGGACAAGATAATTTCATTTTAGACTCCTTCCTGCTTCTGTATTACCTAATCTAGTATCACCTGATTGTTTTCTGCTTTGAAACCTAACCATGAGCAGGTGAAACACATTGACTGTCACAAATAGTAATGAGAATTCAGAGGATGAATTAAATCTGCTACTTACTGTGGTAATGATTAGTGAGCAATATTTGCTTGGAAGGCTTGTCCTGTTGATCAGTTTTGATTCAGCTGGGTAAGGGTCTAGTGGTCACCACTGACTTGCTGATTTCACCTCCGTCTGCTGTGTTGGACCATGCCTTTTAAGAGGAGGATCTAGTTGAGACAAGAAGCCACAATTATTTATAAGTGATGATATAAATAGCTGTGTCTGGGAGCAATACAGGAACAGGTGAAAGTATATCTCATTAAACAGAATGAAATGGAAAAAGGCTTTTGACTTGGTAGCTTTTACAGGTAGACTTTGAGTAAACCTGCTTAGCTTCCAATACTATTCTGATTGTAGGAGTTATGTTGCTTCGGTAGAAAGGGTGATATATTTTAGGATGATACAAAGCCTTTCATTGCAGTAAGCAAAGTGTTGAGTGTTGCCCTTTCTAAAATTTCAGTTTGTGGCAGCTTCTGAAGGTCCTGGAGATTTTCAGGCATCTTTGAATCTATCGGAGAAGTGTGCAAACAGATAGGGTGCAGCAGTAAATGAACGTGTCTAGATATTTCTCTGAAAGTGATATGTTAGTTGTCAGCATGCTGACTTCGGTACAAATGGTAGTGCATCACTGTCCTTGACTGCAGCTATGTCTTGCTTAAGTCACTGCAGGCAACAGTTTCTTCCTGCTGTGAACTTGGTCTGTCTCTGCAGGACACCACTTTACTGGTGTAGAGAGCATTTGTCAGGTCCTGGGGCGTGTTGCTCTAATCAACCTTTACTGCTAACAGGGGCCAGACTTCTGCTTTGAACCCTTCCTTATAGGCTCCTCTTGTCATGAATTTTGGCTCTTACTTGAGCAAGGCAGAGAGCTGGAAGGAGTCACCAGCAATGCCTGTGTTTCTAAACACTCCACCATGTGCAAGTGGGGCAGAGGCTCTGTGGGGAGACGGTGGGCAGAGGCTCTGCTGCTTGGAACAGCCACTGTCGGTGGCAGAACCTGAGACATGGCTTATCATGCAGAGCTGCAGCAAAAACTGTTAATTGACATCCCCTGCAGCTTTGCAGCAGTTCTTTGGCAAAGTTCTTCACTGTGTCTTTCCCTGCTTGAAGCTTATAAGCTTAGTGTTAATCTTAAATTTCAAGACTGTCTTGAATATTAGACTGCCTTGAGCAGTCTTTGACCTCTTCCTGTGTGAGTTTTCTTGGGTGAGTGCAGCATGAAGTTGTTGTCTTCTTGATCATAGCTATATTGGTCTAGCAGCTATGTCAAACTTCACTTTGTGAATATCTAGAGACAAACCCCAATTCAGGGTATGCTTTTTTGGTTATGTGAAAAATCAGAGTGTGGATCACGTTTCTTCTCTGTTACCCTCTTCTTGGGTTGTTTTGAGAAAATTCTTGCAGCACTTTCTCTTCCTAAGAAAAGCCCAGCGTATTCAGTTCCTCTGAAAAGGCTTATTGCCAGAACTGAACTCTAGCAAAGAGTGTTTCACAGTCAGAGCTCTCATGTGACCATTAGCAGTTGTCTCCATCCATGGTAATTGTAGCTGGTGTGCTCAGAATCATAATTGAGAGATTTGTCTTGCTCTGTTTATAGTTACAACACCAAATGGAAGTTTTAACTCTTGGTTTTCAGTACTTGAAAAGAAAAAAAAAATCCTGTGACTGTAAATCAGTATATGTCATTATCTGCTGAATGTGCATTCCACAATTGTCTTCACATAGCAGTTAACCTGGAGTTTTGAAACAGCATCACTCTGCGACCCAGGCCTTTATAACTGTTTACTGAGGTTTTGAAGAATTTGATCATATAACAAAACTTTTTGCATCTATCTATAATCCTTTCAAAGTACATCCCAGTATTAGCTGTTGAAATGATCTTCCTGCACTGATAAGTCCTGATAACTTGATTTATCCCTGAATAACAGCTTCAACTAATGTGTGTGGTGGTTTGAGGGTAGGTTTTGGGGTTGTTTTTTTTTTTTTCTGGGGTGGGGGGAGGGTTATTTTTTTTGGTGCTTCTTGAGGGCTGTCATAGGCTAGGAGCAAATGAAAGGGAAGAGCAATCAATACTTCATATGTTTGTTTCTCCTTGACCTTTACAGCTCATGATAATTGTTATCTGCTTTGCTTCCATCTTGGGTCAAGAAGGCAAAGGCTTACTGTATTTATTTTCCCAGTTAAGAACCCTCAGCTTTCTGGCTCCCTATAAAACCACATGAAAAATCCTTTCTGTGCATGTGCACACAAGAGTGTGCACACACACATATGAATATATTGAATTGTCTTTTTCATGTGCACAGGCTGCAAAGCAATCATGAATCTAAACGTGCTTTTTTATTTACAAAGAAAAGTTTTGTGTTTTCTTCTGTGCTGCCTTCCCTTGTAGGACAGTGACTTGAAGCAGTACTGGATGCCTGACAGCCAGTGCAAAGAATGCTATGACTGCAGTGAGAAATTCACCACCTTCCGGCGGCGGCACCACTGTCGACTTTGTGGGCAGATCTTCTGTAGTCGATGCTGCAATCAGGAAATCCCTGGAAAATTCATGGGCTACACAGGTAGGTTTTATCTATTGAGAAGCAGAACATTCTCTATGTGCTCAGCTCTGGACTACTGCATTTCAGATTCTGACATCTGCTAGAGAATGCTGTACAGGTCTCTAATGGGCCTAGAAATAAGCAAAAAGAATCACAGGATCTAATTCTACCAATTTCTTCATGCACAATGGTGTATTATGCCATGCCTGCTTAATCTTATCGACACCACATCCATGATGACAAAACAAATATGGCCAGTATTTAACAAGGATGCTCACTACAGAAAGTGTGCTCACGTAAAAGCTGCTCTTAGTAATGGTAGTTTTAAATGTAATGAGCCACAAGTTCTAATTGAGGGCGAGGGAAACTCTTTCAAATACTAATTACCAAACTCTAGACGTCTCCTGACGGAGGTAATAATTTCCAGACATCAGCTGGTATGTCGTATCTGACTGGCTATTGTTGTACCATGATTTCAGTGTGCACATGTGCTCTTTTTCCACCCCCGCAACCTGTCTCTCTTGCTGATCACGTGTTACACGTCATTTGACTTAATTATACGCTCAGAGTATCTCTCTATTTGGGGTTGTGCTCTTTAAGGGAATATGAGAACTAGACTTAACCATGCAAAGAGGTTTTGAAACAGGAAATCCTTCTTTTCCCACCACTACACACCTCTGATCCTGTAGGAACAGAGTACTATTTGTTGCTGTTCACTTACACTCTCTGGTTCCCCTTTCTGTAGGGGATCTCCGAGCCTGCACTTACTGCCGCAAAATAGCCTTAAGCTATGCACACTCCACCGACAGTAACTCCATCGGAGAAGACTTAAATGCTCTGTCAGATTCTGCGTGTTCTGTATCAGTGCTGGATCCTGGCGAGCCACGCACTCCAGTTGGGAGCCGTAAAGCTAGCCGCAACATCTTTCTGGAGGAGGATCTAACCTGGCAAAGGTAAAGTGAATGGCTTTGTGCTGAGCTCCAGAATCTTTACTGTGTTTTCAGTCTGACATCTGCCTATACAAAAAGCTGGTGATTTCAGTCTAGGAAATTTAGAAGTATATCTCCTGTAAAAAGAATCCAATTCTGTGCTTGCCTGTAATATTCTTCTCTTCAAGTTGAAATGTGGAAACTTTTCTAGTGGAGTTTTAAATTATCTGCAGTTCCTCCTTTAACTTTTTGAATCCATGATTCTGTATCCGTGTCAGAGCAGGCTTTTAGCTTCAGAGTTTAGAAAGACAAAACCAAAAAACGTCTTTTCTAACCACCAGTGTATCAAGTCAGTATAACGCTGTTATCTGTCAGATTTTGGATTGGGAAAGAGAATATGAGAGATGCTGTCTGTGTAACTAAGAGAGAAATGGTGGAAGTAAGTATGTATTTTAGCTGAAGTGGGATTTAAGGGACAACTAGTAATATTCTCTGATCTCCTTTCAAAGTATATTTCTTCTTATTGCTCTTGAATTAGGGGATTTTTATATTTGGAGGATGAATAAAATAACACTGTACTTCTGGTTTAAATGCTATGTAAGTTAATTTCTGAGGACCTTAATGTAATTTGATGTAATTTTAATGTAGGAGGAGGGAGAAATAATCAGATGTGGTGTTTGTGCTCATTTCCCTAAAAACAGAAGAACAGGCAGGTGTGAAACTACTGAGGAGATCTTGAGTCAGAGCCTTTCTTTAGTTCTCCTCAGTGTAAGTGACTTGTGCCTCTCAGCAGATCTCTTCTAGTGGTTCTGATAGTATTAAAAGAAGAATCTCAAAATCAACTGTCTTCAGAAAATGACCTGACTCTTGCTCTGTATGTTGCTTTTCAGAATATGGTGCTCCTTTATGGAACCAATTAAATAACCACCTTTAGGCCTAAATAAAGGAAAGCAGTTCTGATTTAATGTCATGGTCATCTAAAGCAGTAATGTTGTGATACTTGGGATAAATACTACCAGATTTGGAATTAGGCAGTAAGTATGTATGGTTGGAACGCTTCTCTCCAGGTATACAGAATAATAGAAAGGTGTCATTAGTTCTGTATTCTGGTGTTTTATTAGTGTCTTTGTTTATGGCAGTTCAACAGCTTGTAGACACGAACGTGCATAGCAAGTATTTATATCTTAATTTTGGGCAGCTTGTAGCACTTTAGAAAAATACTGCCTATTCTTGAAAGGCTGATAACTTTCTACTAGAACACTTAGTTTTGTTGGGAGACACTGAGTAAACATGGGCTGCTTTTGTGTGTGAGAGGGAGAGAGATTGAGATGAGGTAGCTTTCAGTGTTAGGGAGATGGGGGAAATGCTTCTACCTCCAAAGCACAGAATAGCAGCCTGTAAGGAAGGAGGACGTGTAAGAAAGGGATACCGAGGAAGGTAGGATAATACGAGCGGTGGGAATAGGCTGTATTGTCCACGACTTGAGTCTGAAAGGAGAAGACGTGAGCGTTGTTCTCCAGATATTATTGGCGTACAGATGAGGAAAGACTTCCCTATTGCCTTATTGATTTAAGAGTCATGGGTGTGAATGAGAGGTAATGTTATAGTTAACTGTATTTTAATTCCAGCTTTCTGATGCTGATACATGTGGCACATCTCAAACATCTGTAATGAGCTCCTTTTCCTTGCAGTTTGATTCACCCAGACTCTTCAACTACCACATTGTCTGCACGCCTTGGGTCTGTCCAGGAGGATGCAGGGAAGTCACCAGCTAGGAACAGGTAAACTAGTCATATCTGAGTATTTTCTGTTCTGGATGCATTCCTAGCACACTCTGCACTGTAAAAGCCTGCATTTTGGGGCTTGTTTTACTGCACATGCTGTTTCCATGTCTAAAATGGTACACCCCGTTACCCATATGTCATGGTAATAAGGAAAGACCATTTATGTACATATTTATATTAATAAATGTACTACTTTTGAGGAACCTATAGTTTGATGCTGAGTCAGTGAAACAGAGGTGGTGGCCAAGAGGACGGAAAGGGAAAGAAGTGGCTAAGAAAGATGGAGTTTTAAGGAAATTGAAGAAAAGGGGGTAACGGGGAGAGAATGGGAGGCATCTTCTCCCTCTGCTCTTCCATTAAGTATAATCTTATTTAAGTTACCAGGCTTCCTTAGGCTAAAATCCTGGTCTTTATGCAAGATTGCTGGAATGAACTTGGAAATGTTCATGAGAGCTTTAGTGTAAATCGTGAATGCTTAAGCTTAATCTCACTAAATAGGTTGTATTAGAAGAACAAGTAATTTCGACATCACAGTGCTTCTGTTATGGTTCTTGTTACATACTTCCATTATGGTTAAATTGGGAAAATAAAGGTGAGGCAAGGATATGAGGAACAGAGCAAAGATAATCCAAATTTCAGTGTTGGAGTCAGAAGACAATGAGAGACTTCTCCACATTGGTGTTACATGAATGCGGAATGTTTAGCAATTTGGAGGGATCAGCTGAGAAGGATGCTGGGTGTGCCTTTATGGGAATGGACTGCTTGGAGTCTTCATCCCTTCTGTGTGAAGGGGGCAGTTAGGAGGAGATCCACACTGACTGTACAGCTGAGAGCCAAAGATCTCACCTGTTGTCAGTAAAATACCAGTGAATAAACTAGTACCAAAAATCAGTTCTGGGAAAACATGATGAGGAGTCCAGAGTTAAAAGTTCAAAGCTGCAGCAACGTCAAGAAATGTCTGAAACCTTGAGGGTGCTCTCCTACTTCCTGTTTGAGTTGATGTTGTCTATTTTAAAAGGCCTTTGCTGTTTGCTCACACATACAGAAGAAGGAAGGTTCTATGCTGGATCTGGCAGACCCAAACTGCTCATTCAAGTTAAATTTTATCTCTCTGGCTATTCATGGCCTCACCATAGTACTTACCTGTCTGGACTCAAGTTTCAGAAGTAACAATGAGGTATAACCTTGCTCTCTCAAAATTATGAAGCTGTGGAAACAAGCTATTGGCTTTGGACTAAGCAATGCTAGCCTTTAGATCTTCTCAAAGCAGCTGAAGGTGTTGCTTTGAAGCAAGCTTACCCATGCCTTTTTCTAGATGAGAAGACACAAAAAAGATGCGGCTTGGGTGCATTTAGACGCAGGTAGCAGAAGTTACTATTAGTTGTTTTCTCTGTGAGTGGGGGATATCTGGTGGTGTGGGTTTTTTTTTTTTCTCTCAGACTGGTTATTTATGCGGGAAAAAAACAGTGCAACAGTCAAATGTTGCAAGTGGGGAGATCTGAACTTCTTTGCAGGTACTTCTAAGGAATAAGGATTTTCATTGCAAAATCTCCCCCTGTGTTTTTCTAAAAGTTGAATACAATGAAGTCCTGGGTGTAACTGGTGGTGATAAAGACACAGATATGAAATCTTACTGTTGAATTCTTGCTTAATGCTCTTATTACACTAATTAAAAATCCCTGCTGCTTACAGGTAGGTGGCACGGTTAAAGTAGCTGCTGTGAAATGACTGGGAGGAGTGCTTAATGGTGTTAGTCTCATTTTCCACATAAGAATGCTTTCTGTTAAGCTGCGTGACTGTTGGTTCTCACTTGTTTAGCAGCTGAACAGTAGAAGACTGGCAGAGTTTTAGCCTGCCTTGAATGTCACAAAAATTTTCTGCTTATCACCCCTGGATATATATGGATGTAGTGCCAACATAGTTTCTTTTTGATTCTGCATAAATTATGAAAAAAGCTCTAACTAAACACCTTTATCAACCCAGTATTCCTCTCCAGGATACAGAAGGAAAAAGCAGTGATTATGAGACTATTTTACTTTCAGTGCCTACTTGCAGTACAAAAGCTGAAATAGGGTGGCATTGCTATTTCATGCCTGGGCTCAGCCACACTGAGAATTCTTGGGAATAAATGGTGTGTCTGTTAACTTCACAGAGCTTGCAAACTGGCTATATGAATTTCATTCCAAAGGCTAGAGGCTGGCAACAGTTTTCATCACTGAGACTGCTGCGAGCCTCTTGAGTCCATTCAGCATTGGCATTTTGAGCTTCCCTGTTGCTGTATGCCAAAGAGTTTTCTGTCCTCACTCCTTAGAGCGCTGTTAACATGAATAGCTTACACTTGCATGCTTTTGCTGCTGTGGGATGAGAAGATGCACTGTGGTTATTCAGAGGCTTAGTCTAGTTGTGGGATGTTGTAGCAGAGGGTATCTGGAACTTGTTTTTGCATTTGTAGCTTTGCAATGGTTATTGCAAAATGGCGTGTTTGTGCTGGAGTGCATATCCAAGATTTCCTAATAGGTGGGCTGAGATAAGGTGAATGCTCCATATCACAGTACAAGGAAGATTGCTGGCTGGAGTGACCTCTAGCTTGAGCAGGTAGTTTAGCCACCCTAGGAAACAGATACTCAAACTTTGAGGCTCTGCAAGCTGTCAGCCACATAATTCAGAGAGCTGAGGAGAAGGAATTTTAAATGGGTCAAGGAAAGGGGGAATCTCAGTGCCCTGTTACAGGGATCCTGGTGTTGGCTGCCCTTGCTGACATCTCTCTTGCCTCCATACTGCTGGAGCTTCTAATTACCTAGCATCCCATCCCTTCTCCAGTCTAGTCAAATGCAGACATATATGGATTGCTGTGGCAAAACTTAGTTCTAACTGCCTTCTACAAAGAGCTTTACAGAAGTTTGTGTTTAACTTCAATGTTCCAAAGCAATAGCTTGCTTTCTTTCTGCTTTGATGGGGAAGAAGCTTTAAGCAGCAAGTTTGTACTGAGGAGAGTGAAAAATGTCACAGGCTTAAGTTCTTTTAGCATGCTACAAGATCAATGTCTGCTCTGGTGAAGCACTGCACAATGAACA